CTCTCCACCGCCCCTTCCCGCCCCTCGCCCTCTCTGGCCTCCCAGGGCCGTCCCGGCCCCAAGCTCGTCACGCACCCTGCCGAGTCCGTGAGCTTCTGACCAGGCCCCGCGCTCTTGAACTTGATGTCAGCCTTGATCTCCTGGAAGAACTTCTTCATGACGGCGGCGGGCCCAGCCGCGGGGGGCCGCGGGGGGCGGGGGGCGCAGGGCCCAGTCGGGGAGGGGCCGGCAGGAGCCACCAACCGGAAAAAAAATACCGCACTGCCGGAAGTCCCGCCTTCGCGCGGCCGCCCACGTGACAATCGGCCCGCCGCGCCTCTCTCTACCTCTCCGCGCCTCGCTGGCCCGCGGCGACCGCTCTGCACTCTCAGGCTGCGACTCGGTGGTTCTTCCGGACTCCGTTGCCAGGGACGACGAGCGCGCTTCTCACTAGAGGCTGTGCCGCCTGCGCGCCTTCCACCGCGTTTCCGGGAGCGGAGAGGGGCGAGGGGAGGGCGTGCGACTGAGCTCAGGGAAAAAGCACTGGCCCTGTCCTTGTCCCTGCTCAGGAACCTTCCCTGGCTTCCCACGGCTTACGTGATCAAGCTCCAGTTCAATGTGGAGGCATTCGAGGCCCCGGACAACCCAGCCCGGTGGTCAGCCCCAGTAGAAGAGGAGGCACCCAGCTAGGGCTTGGGGACCCAAGGTGGTGGATCGCCAAGAGACTTAAATTAGGGAGATCGGAGATTATCCTGAGGGCGTTCACGGGATTTAAGGAAGAATCCGGTGCAGCCCAAACTTGAACCTTCCTGAACTTCACTTTTCTATCCGTGAAAGGGGATAAGAATAGGACCCACCTCGTAGGAGTGTAGGGATGATAAAGCAATTTGAAAGCTCTCAGTAAACGGCAGACGTTATCATGATTTACTCCTTTAATATTTCTGGATAGTCTGCTCTGTACCAGCAGTGAGAAAACAGACAAAATTCCCTGACCTTGCAGACCTGAATTTTGTTTTGAGGTGGGTGGAAAGGGAAGACAGACAATGTGATGAATAAAATCTGTCATAGGTGTTAATTGCTACAGAGCAAAATAAAGTGGAAAACAGGAATAGAGGAGGATACGGTGCGGGGCAGTTTGCAACATCAAATAAGGGGGTGAGACAGAGGAAACGGATATTCTTGACCACCAGGGAAATTTGAATGTGTCTGGGCGTTCCATGATATAAAGGAGCTATTGTTAATTTCTTAGGGTTGATAATGGCAGGGTAGTTATGTTTAAATATGTTCTTCTCAGTTAGAGGTGCATTCTGAGGTGTTTATGGGTGAAATCTGAGATGTGTTTTAAAATACGACAGCAAAAAAATCACACACACACACACAGGCAGAAATTCTCATGGCTGCATTTTCTCCGCGCAGCAGAGTGTAAGAGCAGTCATTTTCCAAACATTTACTGACCATCTGCTGTGTGTCAGGCCACTAGAGTCATAGCAGGGAACAAGACAGACAGGGTCATGCTCTCAAGGAGCTCAGAGTCAGAGAGGGACTGTAGAAATTAATAAAAGAGGGGCTGGCCCGGTGGCGTAGTGGTTAAGTTCCCACGATCCGCTTCAGAGGCCCTACCCACCGCTGATCAAGCCATGCTGTGGCGGCTCCCATATACAAAATAGAGGAAGATGGGCACAGATGTTAGCTCAGGGCCGATCCTCCTCACCAAAAAATATATATATTTAAAAAAATTAATAGGGGGCCAAACCAGTGAGCCGTTAAGTGCGCATGCTCCGCTTCAGTGGCCAAGGGTTCACGGGTTTGGATCCCCGGGGCGCACTGACGCACTGCTTGTCACGCCATGCTGTGGCTGCGTCTCATATAAAGTAGAGGAAGATGGGCACGGATGTTAGCCCAGGGCTGATCTTCATCACACACACAAAAAAATTAATAAAAGAAACTTTAATAAATTGGAGTTGGGAAGGCCTGTAGGGGGAGCTCTCAGACTCTATCAGACATCAACAATTACACCAACCAGGAAGAGATGTATGCTTGCTTCTTGGACAGGAAGTACAACTACTTTACTACTGCAGGAAGATTTCTCTCCCCACCCAGCAACAGCCCAGCCAATGAGAAATGCTGCAGCTCAGCCAATGAGAAGCTGTTGCCGCCCTGAACTGTTACTTTCCCCCAATGGACTTTTCTTTAGAACAGCCCCGCCCTACTCCCCCTTTTCTCTATAAAAGCAGCTCCTCTCTGTTTCCTGGATTTGCCTATGGTTTGCCATAGCATGCAGATCCTGAATTGCAATTTTTTGGGTATTCCTGGATAAACTTGTTTTGAGGCTTTTCAAGTTAACATAACAAATATTTTTTGTTTTAAGTGACTAAGTTTGGGGTAATTTGATTTGTGTCAATAGCTAAATAACAGAAGAGCATACTGTGTTCATTGTGCTACGCTTTTCATCTTTTCTAAAAGTTTGAAATATTGAAAATTACAGTTTAGCACTGTGAAATAAAGGATCATATTCCTTATAATCTCAAATGAACATAAAGAGACTGGCCCAAGATCACATAGCCAGACAGTGGTAGAGACCCCCCCCCCCGAGATTAAGGTCAGACAGGGCTCCTCAGCCTGGCATTCAAGATCCTGAGGCTCCTGGGTGTCTCAGAAACCTCATCTCTTGTCACCACGCATTTTTCCTTCTCGGCTTCAGGTACCTGGAACTATTCACAGCTCACCTCCAGGCCTTTGCCCAGGCAGTCTCCTCGGCTAGAAGAGATCTCTCCCCAACCTAACTCAATCCCCTTCCTCCAGGAAGCCCTCCCTAACTACCCTCCTCAAGCTGGATGAAGTCTATTCTGAGCTCCTGAAGCACCTCCCTCTTATAATGATCATTGGTGGGGCCGGTCCCATGGCATAGTTGTTAAGTTCGCAGGCTCTGCTTTGGCAGCCCGGGGTTTGCAGGTTCGGATCCCGGGCGCAGACCTGCACCACTCATCAAGCCATGCTGTGGCGGCGACCTACATACAAAATAGAAGATTGGCAACAGATATTAGGTCAGGGCCAATCTTCCTTACCAAAAATAGATAAATAACTAAAGTCACTGGTAATATTTATTGAGCACTCACTAGATGTTAGCCACTTTGCTGAGGGCTTGACCTATATTCTATTTTTTTTTTTTTTGTGAAGAAGATCAGCCCTGAGCTAACATCCATGCTAATCCTCCTCTTTTTGCTGAGGAAGACTGACTCTGAGCTAACACCTATTGCCAATCCTCCTCCTTTTTTTTTCCCCCCAAAGCCCCAGTAGATAGTTGTATGTCATAGTTGCACATCCTTCTAGTTGCTGTATGTGGGACGTGGCATCAGCATGGCAGGAGAAGTGGTGTGTCGGTGCACACCCGGGATCTGAACCCGGGCCGCCAGCAGCGGAGCACGTGCACTTAACTGCTAAGCTACGGGGCCGGCCGTTGACCTAAATTCTATATGTAATCTTCACAATCTTCACAACAGCTCTGTTTATAAATCAAGCACTGTTGTGACTCCCAATTTACAGATGAATAAACTGAGGCCCAGAGAAATTGTCACTTGCCTAAGGTCACCCAGTTTTTAAGCATTAGAACTAGGACTTCAGGGCGGGCCCCTTGGCTTAGCGGTTAAGTGTGCGCACTCCGCTGCTGGCGGCCCGGGTTTGGATCCCGGGCGCGCACCAACGCACCACTTTTCCGGCCATGCTGAGGCCGCGTCCCACATACAGCAACTAGAAGGATGTGCACCTATGACATACAACTATCTACTGGGGCTTTTGGGGGGAAAAAAAAAAAGGAGGAGGATTGGCAATAGATGTTAGCTCAGAGCCGCTCTTCCTCAGCAAAAATAGAGGAGGATTAGCATGGATGTTAGCTCAGGGCTGATCTTCCTCACCAAAAAAAAAAAAAAGAACTAGGACTTCAACCCTAGGGGGCCCATACTTTTAGTCCCTGTGATCAGTAGAATAGCGCCCCCTAAAGATGACCACGTCCCTAATCCTGAGAACCTGTGACTATGGTAACATTTGTGACAAATGGAACATCGCAGATGTGATTAAATTAAGGATCTTGAGATGCAGAGATGACCCTAGATAACGGAGCCAAGCAATGAGGGTGGCTTCTAGAAGCTGGAAAACACAAGGAAATGAATTCTCCCTAGAGCCTCCAGGGGTGCCATTCTGCCAACACCTGAATTTTAGCCCAATGAGACCTATTTTGGACTTCTGACCTCCAGAATGGTAAGAATAAATTTGCATTGTTTAAGCCACTAAATTTGCAGTAATTTGTTATAGAAGCAATAGGAAATGAAATCAACCCCCAGGTCAAAGAATCCTAGGAACTAAGTACTGTATTTCTCGCTGATTATAGGGGAGGTTGCAAAGTTTCAGACAAACTTGTCCACATCCTCACAGCTTACAGAGGCAGGATTCAAACCAGGATGACCAGGCTCCAATCACACTTCAGCGGGGGGCTTCTCAAACCATGATGCTCACCCGAATCCCACGAGGAGCTTGTTTAAATCCAGATTCTGACGCCTCTGGTCTTGAGGGGGCTGCGATTCTGCATTTCTGACAAGCCCCCGGGGAGAATGAACAAGGCCGGAACTGGCCCTGGTGCTGAGCAAGCCCACAACAGATAAATATGTTACCCCCACAGCTCAGGTGGGGAGGACCTCTGGGGCAAGCAGAGTCCAATACTCCAGGGTTCCAACCCCTGGTGCTATCCCTCCGCCTCAGTTCCCCCACCTATAAGGCAGGGATGAGAAATAACAACTGACCTGGGAATGAAATTAACCACGTTAAACGCATACTATATAACGGGCCCCGGTCAATGAATGTTGGTTATTATTCTACCTGGGCAAGTGCACAGGTTCTCCTGGAGAACCCTGCCCCCAGCTTCCGTCAGAGCCTTATCTTTTTCCAGTTCCTCAACACAGCTCAGCCAGGTCTGGGCAGGAAATCTCCAGCAGGCTGGTTTTCTGCACTGGCTCAGGGTCTGGGGGAGAAGTGTGCACTGAATCAGAAGGGCTTTGCAGGTGGGGACTCACAGAAGTGGCTTGACAACTCTTGGACTTGATGTACGACCTCAGGCGAGGCATGCCCCTCTCCGGGCCTCAGTTTCCCCATCTGTACCCTGGCCTAGTTCAAGTCCCACTGTACCAGCTTCTTCCTTTTTTTTTTTTTTTTTTTTTTTGTTCAGCCCTGAGCTAACATCCATGCCAATCCTCTTTATGCCAAAGCATCAGAACACAGAAAATAAAAGACAT